AGGGTCTGCTAGGGATGGTGTGCTGCTAATTGGCTGGAATGTGTCTGCTGACTGTGAGGTACAGGGTCAAAGTTTACTCAATGATGACGAATAGGGGGCGGGTCGAACCGCACATATGTTCGCCCGCCGTGGCGAACGCGAACATGCTATGTTCGCCGGGAACCGTTCGCCGGCGAACCGTTCGGTACATCACTACTGGACACTCCACTCGTCCTCCCAGCACACCCAGCCGGGGTGAAACTTTTTGGGTTTTTGGGGGCTCCTGCTTCTGGGCTTCTTCAGAAGAATATATGGTATAAAATATATACCAATTAGTGTAGTGCTATATAAGTATAAAATAATGGAGAGGTTCACTTGTGTTGTTACACTCAATTGATGGGGTAAGTGAACACCTCCACTATTTTATACTTACATAGCGCTCCTCTAATTGGTATATATTTTATACCATATATTCTTTGGGCACTTAAGATTGATCGTGGACATAAGGGTATTCCACTTTAGGTCTTGAGCTGCTTCCTGTTAAGGCACTATATTGTATCACCCACTATCCCTAAAGAGAGATATTTTCAGTTTTTTGTTATTTATTCAGAAGAATGCATACACATCCTGTTGGGCAGTTTTACCCTTAACCCATTGTGTCTTGCCTTGTCTTTTTCCCCCTTTTACCAGTCTACCATCCTGAGGGCCTCCTCAGGGAATTATTATGCTAATATAATTTAATCAAAGTCATTCTACTGACGGTATAGCATGTTTTGTAACTCAGCAGACCTACCTGGTCTACTTTACGACAGTCAACTCATGTATGTTTATCATGTTTAATTAGTGTTACTTTAAAAGAGGTTGCACTTATTAGGAGTTAATAATCATGTATTTACTTATAATATCGTACTCATGTTCTTATGTATTTATCTAAAAAAAAAAAGTGCAGAACATCAAAACACCATGAAACTCATATTTCTGTATTTTTATGTTTGCATTGTCGCTGTTGTGGCATTAATCGCTGGATTGCACATTCTTGCACAACAATAATAAAGAATCAAAAAATATAAAAGATTAAACAAAAGATACCCACTTTTAAAGGTTTTTTTTTTTGTTGTTTGGGCAAATACACACATATTGCATAATCAATCTTAAGCTGTGTCTAGTTCAGAAAGTACCTTTGCCGGTCAGGAGCCTTTCATTCTAGTCTATGAAGTTAGATTTGAAGCTTTGTTGCATTATAAACTGCAAGTTGTACAAATTTAGGCCAACAGGATGATCATACAAATTTAAAAACCCTGAGCTGTAATGGCTGAATCACAAACTAATCAGGCACTGGACTGGTATGTTCTATTTGATTCATGATTTGTAACTCTGCCTGTGGTGCCGAAAAAGTGATTACTGATTGAAAAAGTATGATAGATGGCTAGGAAACAGACACAAAATTTCTATCTGTGAATTAGTTACTCACAGATCAAATGAAAAGTGACCAACAGAGAGAAAACAAGAGGAGCAGTTTTTGCTGCTCTACCTCTTTTTTCCCACTATTGTTTACTTTTCCTCAATTGATCTGTAAAATGGTGGAAAATACTCCTATCAGTATACGTCAAAATATGTACATAATATTTATGCTAACCAGAAAAAGGTGTGGGGGGGTAGGGACTGTGGGGGGTGGGCACTGTGTACAACTCCCATGATTCTTTGAATTACATAGATAGCCAAAGAATCATGGGAGTTGTAGTTCAGCAACATCTGGGGGCCGGAGTTTGAGGACCCCTGATCTAGTACCAGGTCTGGTCAACCCACCCTCCCTTTTCCTGTTTTGCATTTTAGGTACTAAGGGTTAATCCCTAATTTTGTCCAGTTACTGCGATATTGAGCTCCAATTTCAGTTATTTTGTAATATTTATGCTATGTATATATTTTGCTATTCACTGATTGGCCCATTGTTGTACCATTTTGGTTCATCTGATTGGTTTCCCTGAATCTTTTTTTGTTAATACAATTCGGCCAAACTGCCATATGGCCGAAATGCGGTAATCCCAAATATCTTATTTTTTAGACAAATTGGTTTGGCAGAAAAAAATAATTTCACGTGTCTAATGAATTTTGAACTCTTGTTTAACCAAGCAATCCAGGAGTAAAAGTGTACGGGGAAGAGCTAATTAACTTTCTGTTTATAGGTTATTTTTTTTCAAAGGTGTGGTCTCATTGACATATAGTTCAGATTTCAGCATTCTATGTATGAAAACTGAAATACTCCCAGAAAGCTTTCCTATGATTAATAATAACATGTACAACTATGTTATTTAATACTATAGGTAAATTATTAGAGCTCTGCATATGTGCAGTAAAATAGAAACATAGAATCTGATGGCAGGTAAGAACCATTCGGCCCATTTAGTCTGCCCAATTTTCGAAATACTTTTTATTAATCTCTTAGATCTAGGATAGCCTTATGCCTATTCCACGCTTGCTTAAACTCCCTCACTGTCTTAACCTCTACCACTTCAGCTGAAAAACTATTCCATGCATCCACTACCATCACAGTAAAATAACACTTCCTGATATGTTTAAATCTTTGCCGCTCTAATTTAAGACTATGTCCTCTTGTTGTGGTAGTTTTTCCTCTTTTAAATATAGTCTCCTCCTTTACTGTGTTGATTCCCTTTATGTATTTAAATGTTTCTATCACATCCCCCCTGTCTCATCTTTCCTCCAAGCTATACATGTTAATATCCTTTAACCTTTCCTTGTAAGTTTTATCCTGCAATCCATGAACCAGTTTAGTGGCCCTTCTCTGAACTCTCTCTAAAGTATCAATATCCTTCTGGAGATACGTTCTCCAGTACTGCGTACAATACTCCAGGTGAGGTCTCACCAGTGTTCTCTACAATGGCATGAGCACTTCCCTCTTTCTACTGCTAATACCTCTCCCAATACAACCATGCATTCTGCTAGCATTTCCTGCTGCTCTATTGCATTGTCTGCCTACCTTTAAGTCATCAGAAATAATCACCCCTAAATCCCTTTCCTCAGATGTTGAGGTTAGGACTATCTTGCACTTATCCACATTAAATGTCAGGTGCCACAGCCACTTATTTGTCTTTATTTTAGACAGCTGAATTAAAACCTCCTGCTCTGTAAACTCACATGTAACAAATGACTCAGTGTTTTTCCTAATTGAGGTTCCTTTTCTTAATTTTCATCTGTACATACAGAACAAAAATATTAATTGAGGCAATCAGCTATCCTTTTCTACATACCTTCCTTCTTTTGTTTTTAGCCTTAATAATCCTTGTTTTACTTTCCTTTTCGCATTTATGTAAAAATTATTTATCCCACTTTTTTACTTTGCAATTTTCTCTTCTGTGTGTGATTTGAAAGCTCCTATAACTTGTTTTGCCTCTTTCTTTTTAATTTTACAGATCTGTCTATCTTCCTTCAATCTAGGATTTTTTTAAATTACTAAACTAACTGCTAACTTTTTGTTTTTTATTATTTTGTCCCCTTCTGCGGAGTACCACAGTGGTTTCCAGCAAAAAGGAAGCATTTAAAATGGAGGATGTGGGGAAGAGAAAGCAGAGCTAACTTACAAAATGCTACAAACAAATATAGCTAATTCTTTTAGCCAAAATCTATAAATTCAAAAATGTGTTAATGAGTACCCATTAAAAGAGTGATTGCTGTAGTGTTAGTATTAAGCACACTGACAAAAATATTACAAAGGGAAGAATGACACAATTGCAAATAAATTGTTCTATTTTTAATGACGGGACTGATTATATGAATTGTTGAATGATCACTATTTATGGCTTAGTTATTTCACCTAAAGATTAGCGGTCATGGCAGTGATAAGACATTTTCAATGCCTGATCAAAAAAAATACTAACATTGGAATTGTGAGTAGAATAGAATTAGTTCATATGACATACATGCCCGTGAAAACTGCATGAGATGCTTAAAGCTTGCATATGATCAAAAGAACAGTTTTTGATCCTGCATTTCTTATTAACACTGAGGTCAAGTGAAACTGGTTCCCGATTTCCTAATCTTATAAGTCAGAATATAATGGAAAAATAACAAGTATTCTTCACATAAAAATTTACTCTCGAAACATCTTTTTAAAATTTTTCTTGAAGTAATTATCAATAATGCTACTAAATAATAAAATGTAGGGGGCCGAAGCTTGAGCTGCATGGCAGCTAGACGTGTTCAGTGTGAGCTCCCAGCCTGATCTCAAATTTGAGCTGCTACACTGAATCCGACTTATAATGCAATTTAACTGCTTCAGGAACCTGCCGAGAAGCTCAGGGTTGTTTTGGCGGACTTCCCTCTGCACGTTTCTGGGGATCCTCAGCGCGACCTGGTTGAGTTAACGGGCGGGCGAGGCAGCCAATCTCCTGTTCTCCCTTGAGGCAACCTCATTTCCCCTGCTCTTTGGACCGGTGGGGGTTATCCTGTTCCCCACTGGCTGGCCCTTCATACTTGCCTGACACCTGGGCTGCCTGCACGAAGATCACAGAAAGTGAAACAAAATGGTGGATGCGTCCATATCCCACGAGTACAAACCTATGCAGCCCAAGCAGGATTGTCCTAGCATGTTGGAGCAGTCCTTGGAGAGGCTAGAGGCAATATTCTCCTGTTTCTGGGACACTTCTGGGACACCCTGAAGAAGCATGCCATGCCCCCTACTCCACAAGAGAGCAGCAACTGGGAGGTGAGCGGAGCCCCATTGGGCACAGCCACCCGTGTTCACCAGAGCTCGCTCACCTAGGCTGACGGCCATCAGGGGTTGTCACCCAAAGCATCGTCCACGCAGACGGAAGACAAACCGTTATAGGTGGCTACACAACTCCAAGTTCTCCTGCTGTCCCCTTGGTGGAAAGGACTTGGACTCACAGAGACCCCGAGTCTGTGGTCACAAGATGCCGGCCCATACACGGGCCTGGGGATGGAAGAGGCCTCTGTCTCACTCCCTAGAGGAAGGACCCCCTCCTGGACATTCCTGCCCACATGCCAACTATGCCACTTGCAGGGATTGGCTGATACTGACACCAGAGAAGCAGCCTAGGAGCTATATACACTTTGCCTAATCTATCAGGTAACTGGTTAAGGCCTGATCTCCTCATAGCTATAACACCTCTCTGTAGATGCTGACCTGTTGTTGTTTTTCCTTTTATATTTTCTTTCTCTTATTAACTCACACCTAAGCCAAAAAGTTACTAAGCACAGTTCCAGTGGACTAGCAGGTTCATAATTAGCATGTTAATTATCTGCCGTCACATTCTATGTTTCTATGTTTCTACATCAATATTTAGAATACTGAGAAGTGGCTACTTGCCCTAACACAATATGCAATTTCTATAACAAAATTTAATCCATGATCTGTGTCATAGAGACACTTGAACACACTCAAGTTACATAGACACCAAAGGCTTACGTA